CAAATTTTCCTGTGTCTCAGTTGGAGTCACCATGAGAAATTTTTTTTCTGTTTGTTTTTTTGTTCAACCTGTTTGTAATGTCTTTGTGTCATAGTCCATGTACGATGTTTTTCATTTAAAGCCCATCAAAAATGAAAAAAAAAATACCATTCCTGCAAGCTTTTTTACTTCATAGTCATTATTATAAACACTGGTAGAGTTTGCTGCAACCTAAATAGGAAGATGAAAACAGGCTTCCTGGCCATGACTACATTGTATGACCCTGGTGTGATGCCACGTTAATGGGAGACAGAAGCCAGCTTTGGATACTGTAAAACAGCTTTACCACTCCAGACGTTTGCTGAACTCTGTCATAGCTCCTGCATCAGTTACAGTCAGACAGTGTTTATGTAATTACATCCCTAACTTCTATGAGTAAATTGCATTTAATAACAGCTGTTGGGTACTTTGTGCATGTTGGGTTGTTGAACACTACAACTTGTCTTACAAAGGGTCATTCTAAGGGGAGACTATAACTGGCCATGCCATAGTGTTGCCTGTGTGTTTTATTTATAATAATAATTTAAATAAAGAATATGATGCTATTCTGATTTTATATTAGAACTAGCTCCCAGCTATATTTCTTTTCGTATCACAATGCAGTCATATTCTTAGTTTGCTCTCACCCAAACTTCTCATGCAGTTACACTTTAATATGAAAAGAAATGTTGTCAAGACTAGTTATTATCACACATCAGAACATTGTATTAGCATTCACTTTTAATGGATTAAAATGAAAGATTTTGAAATCTGCTCTTAATGATACTGAAGGTTCTTGGAGACACATTGGGAAAGCTTAAATGAAATGTCATATGATATATATACATCATACATAGGTTCATAAAAGACAGTTAATTTAACTGCCTGCCTTTGTGTTTCATCTGTTCTGTTTGGATGAATCATCCACAGGTTAAGTGATGCTTGTGCAGTTTCTTTGCTTGAAATCGAGCACAGTGAATGGCAAGAAGGTTTAGGGAATATGAGGTTCTCGCAGACTGAGGATGATAAGTAAAATAAGACAATTTTGGAGGCCTAGAGTATAACCTGGAAGGAAACTCTGGTTGTTGAAGACATCTTTGAGTCATATCTGCTGATCTTTTGACTCACTGTCTGATATGGATAGGTTGCTTGAACTGCTGTTGCATACATCACCTCACTTATAAAGCTGAATTCCAGGTGGATGTAGTATGAATTAAGCTGTCCTGGTGGACTTGTTGAGAGATGCCATGCTGCAGAGCATGTTACAAAGCATGTTACAAAGCAGTCTGTTAAAGGTGGAATGATTCAATACTCATTTCTGGGGCTTAGAGGCATGTTTTGGAAGCTTCTGAACACATGGGAAAAAACATGGATAGAACTTTCCAGTTGATCAAATTGTTGGCATTTTTTTCTGAGTTTATTGTTTTGTTGTGAGTTTGCCGTATTTGGCAAGGTGGAGAAGGTGAGCACACAGTGTGCTGCATCAGTGTTTCTGAACTTCTTGTTATTGAAGGCTTGGGTACCCTTTTTGTGACTGGGTTGTGATGTACAGGTCATCTCTATTCCACACTGCTTTGATAGTTGGGAAAGGGGATGATGAATAAACAAATCAGCATTGAAGTAAATATTTTGTTGTACTTCGGTATACAAAGATCATAATGTCGCTCTTTTGTAAACGTTTTAGTAAACACTGAAAACTTGAAGGAGGTATCTCCTGGCAATATCTCCTGTTCAAAGTGCATGTGTATATGCTTCATCCCTTGAGTTTATGGGTGTTTTTCAGGGTCATATCCAAAGTCTTAGGAACTGCCAAAAAGCCATGCACCACGCTGCACTAAACTGAGGGCAGATAATAATTTAGATGGTGGTAAATGTAGTACAAATACTAACATGGCAATAGTGTTAGTGTCAGCTAATACATTACAGTCCATAACCTGCAAATATAAGCACTACAAAAAATACACATTGCATCAAATCTAGCTGACCTGTATAACCTGTTACACAACATCTTACACATACTTCTGACAAGCAGATGCTAAATATTGCACTGAATTGAATATTGAAGAAATTAGGTAATAAATCATACAGCTACTAGGTATTTTTAGATGTTAACAGGTCACTCAGATTTTACAGACCTTATGCATCAATATATTTTTCTGAAAATTTACCCTAACAAATTAATCCCAACTGTTGCAGAAGGTAATTTCTCATTTAAGGCCAAGTCAAAAGGCCAGAAATTTTAACTTTAGGTATACTTTTTGTGTTTTGGTTTCTTTGATACATGCTCATATTCACCCCACAGACCATGGTAGAACAAAAGCATTTCAAGAGCTAAATAGAGGACCACAAGCAACAAACAGGAGAGGCTGAGATCCAAGATCCTATCATGCCAGAGGGACCACTAATAGCAAGGCACTGATTAGGTAGGCAGATAATCCAAGAACAACACACAGAATGATGAAAATTTCTGTATTCATACAAAAATACCTTAGGGAAATTATACAAAGAATGCAGATTTGGTGATTGTGAGCTTGGGAGCAAGGACAGATGACCAAGCATCCAAAAGAGGAAGTTATATGAAAGACTAGTATACTTCATAAAGATTGTTAAGTCACAGGGTCAGGCATTATGGAAGGCAAAATAAATTCAAATGATCCTTGACTGTATCTAGCTAGTACTCAAAAAAAAGAAAAATTTCTTCATGTTCATTGCAACTAAGCATACACAACACAGAATTTGAATTATAGCAAAGTTTGCAACAGAGCACAACAAATGTATTGAAGATAATGAGGGAAATTCAAAAGAGGAGACTTAAGGAATCATGCTTTCTAGGGCAGACAGGACTACCAGAACCAGCTGATTTAACTATCCTGTCCCTGGTATTTCTTATAAATATGATAAACGGATTGCATACGTTCCAAAAAAGATATCAAACTTCATTCTAAAATGTCTGACAAATGATGAGTTTGCTGTTCACATGGTGCTTAATTACCTCCTAAAGTAGGAACTTGTATCTTATTTCAGGGCTGAATTTCTGTAACTCCCATTTCTCAATACTAGATCTCATTATACCACTGTCAGGAAGGCTGACATCTTGCTATCAGACATCTTTTCAGGGTGTAAGTACCAATCGCAGTGATCAAGGCATCTTTCAGCCTTTCGTCTGACAAGCTGAATAAGTTGAACTCCTGTAGGCCTTGCACTGGAGCACCTGCTTTCCGACCAAATGCTGTGAAGTCTCTCTTCAGAATTTCACCTGTCCATCTGAGTAGAAGAAACAATGCATTGTTTCCAGTGTGCAAACAATCCAGACACTAAAAAATTTTCTCCGAAACTCTACTTTTAATGCTTATAAATAAGAACATTGCTGAATGAGAAAGCTAAAAGAAAGGGTACATGTCAACAGGAAACAATAAAGGAACAAGCATCAAACCCTGTTTTATGATCTAATCCAACTATCTCTATTCCATCAAAATTTGGAAATACTCTATTCCTTATGGCAGATCTGAGTCCATGGGATAATCCTTTCCCTCCCATGGAACTAGGACTTCTGACAGATAGGCTGTGACTATCTATTAAATAACTCTGACCAGGAAAGGCAGACCATCAACTGCTGTGCCAGGAGCTGGCACTTGTTCATTTTACTGCTGCTATTACGAGCCTTATAGCCTCTGGCAGAGAAAGAGGATGAACAGCTGGAAGCTGAAATCTTTTCAGCCAACTCAGCAAAAATTGGTAGAGCTATCTGCCAAAGCCACAGTTTAACTTTGCCACCTTGGGCTAGTTGAACATACTTCACCTGGCAGGTAGAATATCCCCAGAAGCTCAGCAGTGATTGAGAATTGTCTGTGGGACACCTTCTGTGGGAGCAGAGCAAGCTCAGTAGTAGAGACTTCTTAAAAAAGCTGCCATGTCATCAAAAACAATGGCTCGTGTCCAAAATATGTCACTCTAAGCATTCACACAAGGGGTCAGGTGAAAGTTATTTCAAACAAACCTCATCACAGCTGGAAATTTGTGGTTGATGACTGGGGATGGGGATTCCTGCTGTTGTTCATTTCTACTTGAAAGGTCTGAGCAGAACTGGGACTATAGTTGCCCTGTTGGCAGTGCCACTTGGGAGGGCATAACGAGAGTTCTGCAGGGACATTTTCCAGATTATATAAGAAATCAGTAGTTTTGTACTTCTTTGTGTTGGTATAAGATGAGGCTTTCTCGATCTAGACCTTCAGATTTTAATCAACTTCTTTCTATCACATTTCCGTTATTTCTTAACTACAGCTGAGGAGAGAAAAAAAACTGAGGGGAAAAAAAAAAAAAGGAAAGAAACTTTTGTATATATTTCCAGGAATGGTGTTTATCATTTACAGAAGGTCATTTTTGCAGTTCTGATTATGAATGTTTACTTTATTCACACATCAAGGAAACTATCCTCTTACACCATACGGACAGGAGGTATACTGTTTCATACATTCATATGCCTGAAAGCTGTCTGGAAATGTATTTCCTACTTTCTGATATGGGAACGTTTCAATAGGAGGGGATTTAATTTGTTTTGAAATTTCAACTCTTGTTCTGCTCTGAAGCTAAAGTTGGAATCCATTAAGATGCATTTTAGTGCAGATTCTATTCTCATCTTCCTTTTCTTAGTAACTCTGCAATTCACTTTGTACTTCATTGCAACCAACAGCAATATGTATACATGGAGCACAAAATGAGCCATTTTGTTTTAAAACAGATTGCAGATGAAAGGAAACCATTCATTTCTTGCTTGCTAGCTGTAATTACTAGAGCGCTAATTACTCCAAATCACTGACATCCAGGGTCAATAAGGATGACAACAGGAACATCAAAGACAAGATGCACACACACAATTACAAGTCTCTAAAACCAGACTGTAATATTACTTTATGGCAACTGTTTTTTTCAGTCAATGCTGAAAAATCAAGTTTGCTGAATGTTTACTATTATTTCCTTTGCAGTTTGACGGTGAAAACATGTATATGAGTATGACAGAGCCGAGCCAGGACTATGTGCCAGCCAGCCAGGTGGGTTAATTAATCTTCTCTGCCTTGTTTCAGATTGTAATTAAACAAATTCAAAGAGTTGCATTGCAAATGAGTGGCACTATCAGTAACTGCTGCAATCAGGAATAATCATAATTTATAAACAAAGCATTTAAGCCTTGTTTCCAGTTAATGAGATAGAGCTGATAAAACACCAGAGTTGGTGTTTATTGAAAGATACTACCTTGTTTCCTCTCCAGAATGCAAGCAGCTGTTTTGCCAGCATGATCTTTTCTAAACAGTTGTTTTACCTTCAGGAAATAAAGTCTTTACAGGTGCAGGTTATTTGTTTATCTGACTGCAGACAAGTTAATCATTATAAGCTACACATGTCACAAATAGCCTTAATTATCACTTGTAGGGCAATTGCAAAATTGCATTTTTAACACTAATCCTATGGCTGAGGAACGTTGCTAATATTACAGAATTAGCAGTGAGGTTAAGGCAATGACTTAGTTTTCTGTAGCTTGCAGCCCAGAAGTTTAATGTGATGTGGATTTTTTACGAGTATTTTTGAGTCCTTCTCCTTTGGGAAACGAAGCACACTAAATTTTGATATTAGGTGCGTATTAAAAAATCTTCCACCTTTCCCCTTGAATCCTAAGATACTGTAGGTTTCTAAGAATGAAGGATTTTACTTACTTATTAAAAAGCAAAAATAGTTTCGAAAGTTTTGGGTTGTCTACCTGTTGCTGTGTCTATATGTAGGGGAGAAAATTTTATTTACTTCATGTGTTTCAATCAGTGGAATTTTATGCTAGTAAGTGGCAGGGATAGTGCTGCAGGTCAGTTAGACTGTGTGAGCAATTGCCATGAAAAATCAGACTTGTGGTCTAGATCATACAGTATTTCAGGCCCAGCAGTGGCTAGTCTTTCAAACAGAACCATAAGGATTATGTGAAGAGCTCTCATTAGGTGGGAAATAAGTTCGCATGCGTAGTAAATGTGTTTATATAAGCTGGGTGTAATTTAGAAATCAATGCTTTAGAAAGTGACAGTCCATTCAAAACTAAGTGTCTCCATGAAGTAGGGTTCTTCACATACACTGGTTCATTTGGGGGCAGGGAAGCAGGAGATTGTGTGAGATGAGTACATGGTTCAGTCAAAAAGACCATCTTAAAAATATTTCACCATGTTGCTTCCCAGGCTTCTGTTGAAGTTACTTTAAATACCTTTAGAGACCAATAGTACTTTGCATTTAGAAATTGTGCATGATTGAACTTAGTCAGCTAAGAACCCTCCAAGATCCAGAGGTAGTTTAGACTAGAACTGTTTGATTAAAAAATGAAAAATTGTATTATTAATTTTTCTCTAACCATTAATCCAAAAACTGTACTGACAAGTTTTAGTATTATTATTAGATTAAAGCAGCCTAGTATCATCTCATTTATGCCTTAAGGGTTTGGAAGTGCAAGGGCTAATTGAATTTGTTTGAAACAGTAGAAATACAAACTCTGTGAATGATTGCTGTTATAAGGCAGCTGCTACCTTTCAGAGAATCATTATGTCTGTTTTAAATAGTTTTGAATAAAGGATTGCAAATCCACATTATACATCAGAATTATTTTTCTTCTGTTGATATTTTTGTACTGTGTATGCAAGTAGTTTAAATAATTTAAATGGCATATTGAAAAATTAAGATTATAAGTTTTAATCTTTTATGTGGTTTCTACATGTGCTAACAAGGCCCAGATCCTCCGAGATATTTATGCATCTAACACTCACTGATTTCAGTGGAAGTAAGGTGCTTAAAGTACCTTTAAAGATCCAGGCCTAGATATTTTAAATGCAAATGACTTTGTCTTCAAGAAAAAAAACCAAAACTATCAAATGTGGCATTTCCAAATTCAAAGATGTCAGAAAACCCTGAATACTTAGTAAGGTCTGGAACCAAGAAAGGGCTTACAGACTTAGTCTCACTACGGCAAAGTTGAGCTCTTGAGTGTCTGGCTCCCAGGTAGAGTTCAAAACCCAGAGGCAGGTGTTGAAACTGTCTGTCCTTTGCTGGGGGATCCATCTGACAAGAGGCAGCTCAGTTGCCAGGCACAGTGTTTTATGTTATTACCAAGTGACTGACACTGTTCAACCAGCCTCCTGTGCCCATTTGAGAGAAGCCTTCAGCCTCGGGCTGTCACAACCTCCTTTCCCTTGCTGGGATTTTCTCCTGGTGCTTACACTGTTGCAGTGGTTTTAAGTGAATATATCAAATCATACAATGGTTTGGATTGGAATGAACCTTAAAGATAATCTAGTTCCAACACCCCTGCCATGGGCAGAGAACCTTCCATTAGAGCAGGTTGCTCGGAGCCTCGTTCAACCTGGCCTTGAACACTTTCAGGGGTAGGGAGTCCACAGCCTCTCTGGACAACGGGTGTCAGTGCCTCACCACCCTTATGGCAAAGAACTTCTTCCAAATGTCTAATCTAAGCCTACCCTCCTTCAGCTAAAGTGTCCTATCACTACATGTCCTTGTAAAAGTCCTTCTCCGGTTTTCCTTTTGACTCCCTTTAGATACCAGGAGGCTACTCTAAGGTTTCCCTAGAGCCTTTTTGAAGCTGAACCACCCCAACATTCTCAGCCTGTCTTCACAGAAGAGGTGTTCTAACTCTGTGTGGCTGGAACATATGTGAAAGCTCATATTAATAATAATGTTTAAAAAAAAAAAAAAAGGCCAAAAAAAAGACAAACCACAGTAGGAGCAGGAAGTTGGGATGTATTGGAAACCTACCTCTCTCTTGTTTCATCAAGAGACTGTGAGAAAAGCCTAACCAAACCTGTTCCTGACACAGACATCTGCTAGTCATTCCTCAAAGGAACGAAACAACTCTCCATTGACGGTATCGCTGAGGTCTTCACTGCTTATAATGGGGTGCTCTTCCTATCTTGGACATAAACATTTGTTGGTCAGCCAAAATTGGTAAATTGACTACCATTTCAACATCTAATCTGTTTGTTAAAACTGGAAAAAAATTATATTTCTTGCTCTGAAAACAATGCATGAAAGATTGAGTTGCTTACAGGGGAGGGAAAGGAAGAGGAAAGAATGCAACTGTATTTTCTGACCCCAGTTATCAGGACTGTTTGTTCATTTTCCTTTCACTGTTACTGGATGTAAAACACATAATGCTGTAAAAAAAAAAAAAAAAAGAGAAAATGTTCTCTCTCAGATGACAGCCTAGTTGCCTCATTCATAGTTTTGTCCTCTATTTTGCACCTGTTCCCATGAGCCTTGCTGTTGCATGACCTCAGTAAGAGAAGTGCAGGATCCTTCCTATCCTCTATAATTTGTCTGTTCCCTCACAAGATCAGAGATGAGGGTTTGAATCCTGTCAGAATGAGGAGTGAATTAATTTCTCTGCTTTCCTTGATAGACACACATCTGTTAACTAAAATATGAATCCCACATGTTACGAGATGCACAGTCCTATCAGAAACTTTTATTCAAGCTCTGATCATGCTAACTGAATCAGACATGAGCATCATTTTCTAATTTCAGCGTCTGACACAGCTTACTTGGGAGGTAAATTGGCAAACTGAGTCATGGTATGCAACACCAAAGACCAAGAGGTTTCCACTAGGCTGTCTTCAAGATTATGTGACTATAGAGACAGGGTTTCTGGGGTCCTGATATACACTGACATGAACTTCAGTTCTTTCTGTTTACTGGAAAGTGTTCACATCCAGAAAAACATCACCATATATTATTTTATGGGTTTTAATCAATTTATCCCCTTTGGGCTAACATAAATAAAAGCTCAGCCATTGGACAGGAAAAATATAGTTTTGTTCCTTTTGCTATATAACATCAAACATCTGCATAGTTTGATAATCCAAGACAAGTTGCCTCACAGCATCCCTCAACAATAATTATCATTTCTGTTCAATTTTCAAATCAGTACATGCTTTGGGACTTACAGACCAAGTTGCTAAGTAGCAACATATGGCTCACTACTGTTCCTGTGATGTTGCTGCAAGCAAATAGCATAATTCTATACTTGAAATGATTTTTACAGAAAACCAGTGCTGGAACTGAGCCAGAAGTATAAGTATACAGTAAAAATTAATGATATTCTTTTAAATTGTCCCAAAAGGCTGTTTGGCAATGTTGTCTCTGTGTACATTTTATATATATGTGTAAGTACTGTGTTTTTGGTTGTGATATATGTAGTACCGGACTCTGCACTGCAGGCATCTCCTAAATGAGTTATGCCAGCCATATTAACAAACATACACAGTAAAACTACAATTGCACTTGGATCTGAAAATATTTATCATTTTAAAATAAAACTATGCCTACTGCTCTGCATTTCAGATTCCCACAATATATTGTTTTCGCCCCACACCTATAATTGGAATCTCAGTGATGAATTGTTCTTTATGTAATTCCTCCTCTTGTAATTCGTGGGCCATGCACAGCACAGTATAAAATTATATTGTTTATTTTACATTTTTTCCTAGTCACAATGAGGAATGTAATTTCAGGACTCTGTTGCACAAAACTTTGGCACTTTTGTAGCCTTCCTGAGGCCTGATATACCTTAAGGCTAATGAATCCAGCTGCCAAATTCCCTGCACAGTCCAAAGGAAAGGGAAAAAAAGAAGCCTGGAGCTGATGGTTTATGGCAGTACCTCCATTGTCCCCGTTGGAAAAAAAGAGATATCCGAGGCAGAAGAAGGAATACTGTTTGCTCAGAGGTGGTATTTTCCTGCTTCCCAGAGCTATGCCAGGAAGATCCATATAAGATATGTATGCATGCTCTTTGGTACAGTGAGCATCATGGGTATCAAAACTGTTTTGTCCGGTACAGCTGAAGAGTGAAATAGGATCAAAGGACATTCAAAATGGAGATTTTTCATGTTAATAGGAAAGTAAAGGCTTTCCCTGCCTTTTGTTTCCATATTGACATGGTCCTAGATATATCCCTGACTTCTTTTTTACATGTTTATACTGTAATTTCTTAGATTATTTATGGCATAACTAT